ATATAGTAATTGCTGTGGGTGAAAACCTCAATCTGCAGACTGCTATCAGTACTCTGTTTCCAACATTTTTCTACTTTGGCTACAAGATGACGTCAGCTTGTAACGGATCTGTCTATGTGGTTATCTGCTCCTCCAGGCACGCTAGTGTTTACATTACTAAGCCTACATTGCTACATGACGCCATTTGCTAGCATCAGGGAAACATGTAATCATGGTCGCTGATGTTGTAAATTTCTCCCTGATTTCGGATTATATTCCTGCTGGAACATGTCCAGTTGTGTTTAGAAGCTCTTTTTGGTGATTTTTTTAAATGGTGGAAAGTGCTACTATTCCCCGTGACATTCACTGGCCAGCTGCAATGAGTGCAGAGACACAGAAATACGGAAGATCCCAGAAGCGCTGGCCAATCAGAGCAGATAGTCTCTGTCTCTTCAAGAAACAGGTACTAAAATTGAGTATTTCAGACAGAGGGTGAATATTGGTGTTCTAGCACAGACAATTTAAGGAAGATTAAGTGTTTTTTGACCATTAGAGCATGTAAACATGGGCTGGGTCACAGGGTGGCAGGCTGAGCAAAGTACTCCAGACGTCCCTCTCCCCAGCAATGCTTTCCACAACCACCTGGCTGCTCCCGAGGCATTCCCAGGCCCGATGAGATATATAATCCCTCCACTGTGTTTTAGGTCTACCCTGGGGCCTCCTACCAGTTGAACGTGCTCGAAATACCTCTAATGGGAGGTGTTCGGCAGGCATCTTGATCAGATGCCCAAACCACTTCAACTGGCCCCTCGACATGAAGGAGCAGCAGCTCTACTCTAAACTCCTTCGGGATGTCTAAACTCCTCACCCTACATCTAAGGCTGAGCCCAGCCACCCTTCAGAGGAAATTCATTTTGGCCACTTGTATCCATAGTCTCATTCTTACGGTCAGCTCAGCTCCCTCTTCACCACGACAGTCTGGCGCAGTGCCCGTATCACTGCAGATGCTGCACCAAACCACCGATCCATCTCACACTCCATTCTACCCTCACTCGTGAACAAGACCCTGCGATACTTGAACTCCTTCATTTGGGGCAGTAACTCTCTCCCAATCCAGAGCTGGCAATCCACCATTTTCAGTCAAAGAACCGTGGCCTCATATTTGGAAGTGCTGACTCTAGTAGAAACCTAAAATATGAGTATGAACCTTAAAATGAGCATAATAGGTCCCCTTTAAATTCAGGACACCCACAAGTGGGTCACTTTATTCAAACCATCATTACAACTTCTACCAGCCTCTTTGCAAATTTCAGAAAAAATTGTAGATCACCACCACATAGAAACTGAGTCCAAGCCAGTGAACAAAGCAGTGAACAAAGTTTGGGTTCCTGTGACTCAGGGTCTGTTTGGGCGTCGTCGAGAGGACCTGTTGGCTGCCATGGCTGCTCAGGCCCAGGCTCAGGGTCAGACTCAAGGCCAGGTTTCCCCTGTGCCCCCAATCCAACCGGTGCCTCTGCAGTACAGTGACATGAAGGTTGCTCTGGACAAAGAGCGCACTCGCTGCTCTGAGCTAGAGGAAGCCCTGCAGAAAATGAGAGCGGAGCTACGATCTCTGAGAGAGGAAGGTGAGAGATAGTATGCTACTAACATTACCTCCTCTGAACAGTTTACAATTTGCATACACGTGAGTAAAAGATTAATGTAAGTTTAATTATTCCAACACCAGCACTCCAGTATAAGGATCACGGTAGCTCTGCAAACCCAGCAACAGCACGGCAGCAGATGATTATGTCTGCCATGGTGAAGTCTCCTGAGCACCAACAGGGCCCGACCAACCTAGCACCGTCCAACTCAGAACGCAGGAAAGTGACTGCAACACCTGAGGGTAAGTAAAGAGATGATGTTTACTGAAGTGCAGCCTTTGCAGACACAGACATGCAGGTTTATATCTTCATACTTGACACATACTGGCCCTCACCTGCACACACATACTGTAGATACATACATGTAATATCGCTCGCGAAGGATCATTTGTGAAACTCTTACTATCCTTTTTCTTTCACACACCTTTCAGAAAGAAGGAGGGTCACTTTTGAAAGTAAGTTGTCCAAACTCATGGTTTCTGCAGTTTGGTCTCTTATCTCTTCTCTTTTTGCCTCATCCACATTGTTGAAAGGCCAGATTTTAAAAGCTCTGCACTTTTATAAAATATGAGATCCCACCAGGCTGGCTGGGTTGAAGCTGAGAAATCTTCGGGTAAATTTTCACCTTCTCGGTGCACAGCTTTAGAAATCTGAAGCATTTATATCAGTTGCTGAAGCTTAACCAATCTGATTTGCAGAACTCCGCTCTGCTCTTTGACTCACAACAATCCCACCAAACTCCACATCATACACTAACAGAGATGAACCGTGTGATAAACTCTGCAATGCACAAGACGCTGTTTGAACCCACACTGTGAAAATAACTTAAGGCATTATTCAGTCATCTCATTTCTTCTTACAAAACAGCAAAGGTTGTTTGTTTTATCCCATTTGTTAATTATATGCTTTGTGTTTTTAGAATGCCGCCTATGGACTGGTGTTGAAAATTAGCACGTGTGCTACATACACCTAAGCAAAGGCATCTGGTCTGTCCACTGGGACAGTCTCAATGTATTTGTGATGTCCATATCAAATAAAATAAACCTAACCTAACCTA